AAAGTTCTTTACTCTTAGATCATATATATATATATATAATTTTGTAAAATTTTTTTACTTAATACTCTTAATTTTTTGTATAAAAAAATAAATAACTAATTAATCAAGAAAATCTATTTAGTTAATTATAATTCATAATATTATTTTTTTTCAAAAATATCCGTAAAGAATTGATTAATTTTGCATAATTGTTATATTTAATGATATTACATGTAATTCAAGTGATAAATTTTCTCCGCCAATGAGTGTGACTTAAAATGTTAATAAATTAACAAATATATACACTTGCATTAGGAATGAGTAGGTGTTTTATATTTTTATTAATAGATTTTCATGATAAATATGGTATAAAAAATATTAGTAATAAATACATCTAAAAGTATAATTAAGACAAAAAAAAATGATTTCATTTGTTTTTTATATAGAAGATAAAAAAGATTATTTTAAATAGTGTTTAATAAATATAGATTGTTTGTGTAGTTTTTTTTATCTTCACATTATTAACTAATGAGAAATCAACTTTTTTGTTAATTTTAAGGTGGTTATTTTCAGGTCAACAAAAAATTTATGTTGGACAACAAAGTAAAAAGAAAATTACACTCTCTATATATAGTAAACTTGTGATTGTTCGTATAATATATATATATATATATATATATATAATATATATATATATGTTAATTTAAGCTTTTTTTGTCAACATGTGACATTTTTTATTTAGTAAAAATTAAAAACATTTTTTAAAATGGACTTAAAATTTGAGAATTAATAGTCTTATCGATAAATCAATTTTAGATTCTTTACTTCGATGCATGTTGTAATTAACATATTTTAACATTCTCTAACTCTTGGTTCAATATGATGCAAATACATGTTTTCATATGTAATACCTATTTATTAATATTGTGTGTAAGTCTCATGTACCTATTAACAAATCAATCCTAGATTTTTTCCTTTGGTGCATGTTATAATTAACATTTTTTAATTTTAATTTTTTCTATTTTATTATTCAAATGTTGTGTCCTTCCTTCTGCATTCCTAAAATATAGAAGTTCTTTTCCCTAGTATGATAATGATAGACATAAAAAGTTAACTGATATGAAAAGTATGTATTTTAAACATATTATAAATTTTTGTGACTTTTTTTATTATTTTGCACATATGTTTCTATTAAAGATCAAATTCAGATTCTACTCACATTGTTCAAACAATTTGAACTTAGATTCAATATATTAAACATTTGTGCTTAATTCCTTAATTTAACAATATATATATATATATATATATATATATATATATATATACTAATACTG